AGTCTTAATGCAATCTTTTCTGTCTCCTTATTTTATTTCAGACCAGTAGGAAGGTGGAAGTTCTCAGAACATAAACTCATTCCACCCAGTGTTCCACGGCTCTCCCAAATCCTGGGGCTTGGTTCCCATGCTGTGCAGATTCAAGTGGACACTGGATGCCAGGTGACCCTGGATTTAGGAGTAGGCAAGGGATTTGCCATATGCCAAGCAGGAGTTCAATGAGCTTCCCTTTCCTCCCTTTGCTCTTCCTTGCTGTCCACTGCCTGCATGCACTTGCAGCTATTCTCGCTTTAACGAATTCCTTCCTTACCTACACTTGTCTGAACTGGTCAAAATTCTTTCTCAGTCAGAGTCAAGAACCCTCCCCTGTCCAGGTTGACATTTCACCTAGTGCAGAGGGAGAGACCTCCCCAGATGCAGCTGTCCAGCAACAAAGGGGACATGCCCACCTGGTGCTGCTGCATGCTCTGGCCATCCAGGACCCCAGAATGCCCTGCCCAGCCCAACCCTAGTTCACTTCTAGTGTCTACACAGCTCTTTACAGAGTTCATATTCCCAAGGACTGAGAGGGGCCAAAGGCAGCTGTTCACATGGCAGGTACGGACAGAGCCTGAACATGAGGTATGGGTGTCTACCCTGTGTACACTAGGTCACTTGCGGCACAGGATGAACCCAGCATTGGGAAGAGAAGAGTAACAGGCCTCAAGCTAGTGGTGAGAGACTGCCATTTTCCTGTGAAACCCCAACAAGTCTGAGCATTCTGAATTTGAACCTGGACTTCTACCTCATTATGAATGCACATTCATAAAACAGGAAGATAGAACATATTTAACTTAAAATGTTTGGCTTAATTTAAAACGTTCAATATAAAGTATGTGAGCTTCCAAGTATACTCTGGCCTGGACTCCCAAAGGTTCAGAGCAGTTATGCAGGTCAGAGGCAAACCTTGCTGCATGCTGAGATGGCTCAAAGCAGAGACTCACCTCTAAGGAGGGACTCCTGCTATTGCTCTGAAGTCAGGATCTTTTAAACAGAAACAATTATGGAAACAGAGATAATGCCAAGAGTGTGTATGACTGTGTATGCGTGTCTGTGGATGTGTGTACTTGTGGGTGTGGGGTGCAGTCCATAAGTGTGACTGCATGTATATGTTTGGCAATGTGTGTGATTGTGTGTATGTATATGGGGTATGGGTGTGTCTGCATGTGTTTGTGTAAATGTGTGTGAACCTTAGAAATATGAAGTAATGAAAATTTTATGGTGTTCCTCACTGTATAATTCAAAGTTAAAGTAATCTTAAATCATCAAAAATTAGTCACCCACAAATTCTGAATTTTTCCCCAAATTAATTATATCCTCATTGTACAGATGAGGAAACTGAAGTTTAGAGATGTTAAGTGACTTACCAAAAGGCACAGAGCTCACGAGCCCAAGGCCAGGATTCAGCCGAAACGGTGTGGCTTCAGAGCGCTGGAACCCTGCTCATTATGGTGCATGGCCTCTTGGCCAGGACAGATCGCAGGGAGCTTAAGGCCATCATGGAGTCTGCCCAGATGGGGGCTCAGGAAGCTGAGCAGAGTAGTGCATTTTAGGTTAAGTGTTAGGGCTGCCCAGAAAGCGCATAAGTTCTTAGGCCTTGGATGAATAAGGAGGTTCACTGATCATCCCTAATCTCTGCTGGTGACAAAAAGAGACCAAGAACCCTGACAGCAGCACTGGGGGCTGCTTGCCAAAAAACAGGCAGAGTAGTGCTAGGGGCTGTTTCTGAAGGAGAGAAAGGAAATGTCGCCACCTGGTGGGCACATTGGTAGTGGCATCAGGAGGCCTAGCCGTCTGGTATGGGCGAGCTGGGAAGATTAGGAAATTTAGTTGTGTCCTGGTGGATTATCGACCTAAGTATCTTAAAAATTCATTGTTTCGTGTATTTTATCCAGTATTTGGTTATTTTAGGATGGTAAATATAATCTCCGTTACTCCATCTTAACTGGATTCCTCTCAATTCATTTAATTGTTCTCTCTTCAAAGATTTGTAAGCAGTAGTGCCCTTTAATGAAGCTTCTTTTAATTTTTGTAAGTCATCTCTAAATTCACAACTTTATATGTAATGGAACCAGTATTTCTATAGTTACAATTTGAAAAATGAAATAATCCTTAGATTCTTACCAATGATAAATTTAGCATATTTTATCCCTTTGCTGCTCCAAATTTTTGTGTGCATTTCAATACCTACTTTTTGAACAATCGCTTTAAGTTTATTCAACAAATAATTAACAACTAAATGTATTTGTTTGCTGACTACCATTTTTTAATCCCATTTCTTTCCCATTCTTGAGTAAAGGTTTACTTATATTGATTTTGCAGTCAACTAGACGTGTAATTGCTACTTTTTTCAAGTGGTGAACTTGGGATCTTTACATGTCTAAATATATTATTTATCAGCAATATTCTACTTGCTGTTCACTGTCTATGCTCCACTTTTAAACATGGCATTGTTTTTCATCACTGAAAATGTTTTCTTGATTTAAAGCACCCCCTTTCATGACTGGCTGGTCTTTTTTGATAAATGGTTATAATTAGAAATCTTCTTAACCCTTCTCCTGCTTCTTGCAGTAACTTGGCTTCATTGAGGTACATGTCTTCCAATTTTTCAGAAAAGACCCCTGCTTTTGAATTGCCAAATCATTACCACATTATTTTTCCCTGTGTTTATTCTTGGAGTAAGATCTTTATCAGATTAAAGATGGTTCCCATCAAAGATGTGCGTCTCCTTGTCCAAAGAGACAGAAGAGAGAAGGAAAGATGCTCTGTCTGATGGTTACCTTTTGTCAGTTTAGAAATGTAGTTACCTGTGGCAGCAGTGGAATCCAATGTAACTTGGCTGAGAGATTCCTCTTCCACAGTCATTAAGGTAGCCGGGGTAGGCTGGGGTCATGAGACCCTCCTGAGGATCGCGGTGCTGAAGCATTCCCTCCCCGCCCCCTCAGACCTTGCAAACAGGCTTCCAGCAGTGTGACCCTGGCACCGCGCTCGCTGCTCTTGAGGTCACGATGGGCACCCACATTTCCCGCTTCCACTGCCTTCCTCACTGCCTCCAGCTAGCTCCAAGTGGGAGCTGGCTTCCCCTCTGGGCCCTTCCCGCTTCCTCCCCAGCGGACTTTGGCCCAGGCGCTTCTCTCCTGCGCTGTCTACTCAGAAGAAATGCCTTAGCGCCTTTGGCAGGTAGAGTTCTGCTCCCGTATTTGCATCTCTTTAGTCTGCAGTGTGTTTAGGAGGAGGAGGAATTCAACTTGAGGGTTTGCATCACCAATGTCAACTGCAGTGAGCAGTATAAAGCGGGCTCGTCGCCCCAACTGTGGTCCTTGGCCTGATCCACACAACACAGCTCTGAAGCCACAGAGAAGGCAGCTCCCTTGGTGACTTCAGGGGAGGCCAAACTGATGGCCCTGGAGCAGGGGAGGGCCTGGGCTCCTTGTATCTAGGGCCGCAGGAGCCCATGGAGCTTCAGTGCTGGGGTACAGGAGATAACCTCGGGGAACGGGCCTGGGTGTGATGGTGGAGACTGCCTCCGTGGGGCTTTGCTCCAGACGCCTGGGTGTGGGAAGCAGTGGAAAGAGCAGGGCTTGCTTACCTGGGAGACCTCGGCTTGAGTTTGGGCTTCACCACATAATAGACGGTGGCCCATGGAAATCTAATTTCAGAGCCTGTTACCTCATCTGTAGAGCTGGTAATGCCAGGACCACCCTCAAGGTTTTGGGGGAATGAAACAAGGTACTGTGCATGGAACACTTGATGCCTCACCTGTGGGGGGGGGATGCTCAACAGATACTGGGCTCCTCATCTGAGTAAAGATGAGGGACAAAATGGGCTCCTTCCTCTTCTCTCCTCTAGTGTCACCACGGTGCTCCCACCATTTGGGGTGACATCTTGGCTCTCCCCAGCCCTCTGCTTCTGGACCGATGCCCCTTTCCACTCCAGCCCATGAATCCACCCTGGCTGCTTCGCCGAGGGGACCAGTCACCCGCTCATTTTGGCAACCCTCTCCCCTAACCCAACCCAACTAAACTGATCCTCCACCTTCCCCCTCTCAGGACTATAGCATTTTATTACCTCCCTTCCTGACCAGAGCTCAATTATTCATGTGATCAGCTTTCCATGTCTGAGGAAAGGTTTCAAGGATAAATGTTTCCTGTGTGGTGGACAGAGATGGGTCACACACAGGGCAGCCAAGTGCAGTAGCTTTACTAGGGTAACGCCTGCCGGTGAGATAACAGCACATACATACAGAAATCCATGGGCACAGGTGCCTCCGGCAGCACAAACACCAACGCACAGGGAGGGCTCAGGAAGTGGCTTTGGAAAGTTCTCTTGAAAATCCAAGGGCAGCTTTGGTGCTCAGAGATTCAAACAGAAAACTATACAAAACCAACCCATAAATATATATATATATATATATATATTATATATATGTGTATATATATATAAAATTGCAAAATAAAAGCCCAAGAAATAAATCATCAATCTGCACATCAGTGGCTCAAAAAGTGTAGCGCAGAGAAAGGCCGTCTGTGGGGACGATGCAGGGTCCAGGGGGCTGGCATTTCAGTAGCAGAAAGAGTATTTACATGGAACCCCTATTCCAAACTTCACAATACTAGGAAAAGCTAAACACAGACAATGTATGTACAAGGAAGACGATTGTCAGACACAGACATTTCACTGAAACCACCCAGGGCTTAGAGCACATGGCACTATCTAGGCCCCCACCCCCCAGCCAGGCGAGCCCCGGGTCTGGGCCCTTTCTTCTGCCCACCCCACCTCCTCCTAGGGAGGACAAACCCTGGGACTTGGCAGTAGCATAGATTGCAAGGATTTAAAGGCAGAGTGGATGACAGAGATCAAACAATTGCTCATAAAAGCAGGTTCAATAGGCATGAGGTGGAGTTGAAATGTGGGGGTGAGGGTCCCCACAATATGTTCCCATTTGATAAGGGCTTTATGTATTTAAATGTGACCCCTGTACTTAGTTTAAGTGTCTTGAGGTCACGATGGGCACCCACATTTTAATCTGAACTTTGAGCTTCTAAACTTTATACAAGATGATTTGAGGGAGGGGAGAAGCGGTTAGGGTGTTTTTGCAGTGATTCTCCCACCGCCCCCTACACTCTTGCCATGTTTTCTTTACACCACTGAGGGGTTTGCCATCACGGCTGGCCACATTCCGCTGCTTGGGAAACAGCGCATGAGAACATCCAGGAGCCGACCGCGTGGACCGCACTGCCACAGCCCCCAGGACCCTCTCACATGCAGCCCTGGCCAGCCATGCCGGAGGGTTCCCCACCTCCCCCTGTGTCAGTAACAGTTACCCCTTCTCTTTCTTCTTCAGGCCCCCATTTCTCATAGTGATGATGCAACTTCTGGGGAAATCTCAAAGGCAAATCAGTTTGGCAAAACCTAGTCCCTAAAACTAAGTGGAAACCATCACTTCTGGATTTTCAGAAATCCTCTAGCTGGAGATTCTAATTGCTCCTGAAAAGAGAAACCTGTCTCTATAAAAACAATAAAAGCTTTGTCCATTAGGGACATGCCTCTTGAAGCCCCCATATTGGTTCCTGGGTGAGGGTGGCTTCTCACCATGAGGGGCCCAGGAGAGTTGGGTGTGCCTCGGTGACACCTCTGTGTGTGTGTATGCTATTTCTGCAGAAAGTATGCCCCTGGGAGTGATCACTCTGCTGTCTCTGTGCTGGCATCCTGGGGCACCAACGGAACCGAGACAGAAGATAACCAGTGAGCACATTTCATCCATCAGGGCCGGCCTCTGACTTCCCGTATTACATTAGTCCTTCTGGAATAGATGTGGATCAGTGCCACTGCATTTTAAACTGTGAGGTGCCCTGTCCTTCCTGAGAAAGTGGAGAGCATAGATTTGTTCCCTCTTTTCCAGGCTCTTTGAATGTCACTGCCTTAGAGAGCTGCTCAGGCCCAAGAGGTGCAAAGGTCTATCGCCCCTATGCTCATAGTCACCTGCAGTTGTGCCAACCAGTTTCAGGCCTTCGGAAGGCTGCAGGAGTACAGGGAGGAAGGGTCACGTGTTTTCTCATTTGTTCAATCATCAAAAGCTGAGTACTCTTAGCCTGGAACTAGAACATAAAATTTGCACTTGTGCAAAGGATAACATACAGGTCGGCAGTAGGCTATGTTTATGTTTACCCCTACACATCCCTCCATGGAAAAATCCGAACTTCTTCTTAACCTTTTACACTTTCAGAAGTGCACTGTGCTGCAGGGTGAATGGCCCTCTCAAACCCACGGCAACCCGAGAAGTGGCTTTCTAGCCCTCCTCGTGCTGGCAAGAGTGGTGGCCCTGTTAGGACAGTGCCAAACGACATCTGTGTGGCTTTCCTGCCACTCTCAGGAGTGACACAGCATTGGACTAAGGGAGCAGGATTCAAGGATCACACACACGAACTGGGAGTAGAAGGGCAATGCCTTCTGGTGGGGAATCTAACTAGACCGGGCTTCTCATCCGAGGTCCCCACAAGTCCTTTAAAAAGACCTAATCTGTCTGCAGAGGAAGAGCAGCATTTTCATTACCAGAGTGTGAGGGAGGTTATTTTTATCTGGGTATAACCTAGCTGAAGTCAGGCAGTTCCTTGGGTCATTGGTAGGCCAGGAGGCTCTAATGGAGCCCAGGTCCAGGCTACGGGGCTGTCTCTTGGCAGTGTTTTCTTTACAAAGTTTAAGATCACATAGTGTGGACTCTTCTCCCACATCACTGCTGGTGCCAGCCACCAGCGCACAGTTAGTCACTGGAGCCATGCTTCTCTCTGTACCCATTTCCCCTACCTCTTCATGCCTAACCCTGTCCGTCTTCCCACAGAGAGAGGCTCAGAAACCTCTCCACTTCCCAGCTCAGCATCCATAACACAGCAGATTGGTTCAAATTCTCTCCTCCCTCTTCTGCAGCATATCCAAGCACAGTAGCTTTACTAAAAATGCACCTATTGCCTACCAATTCTAAGCTCTCCATATATACACTTTCCCAGACAGATACGGCTTTTATCCAAGCCAAAGAAAATGCCCCTTCCTCTCACCCTAAAACCCGGTTGGTTTGGACTGCATGTGTGCTTCAACAGCATTCAGTGCATGGCCTCAAGGCTGGAGCTAAGCAGGCACAGCCGAGGCATGCAAAGGAAGAAGGAATTGGAGTAACTCAACAGCGCTCCCAGCAATCCTGCACCAAGACAGGACTGCCCCGGAAACTGCACTAAGCATTTGCTCTTTGAGTATTTCCCTCTTCTTGTTGAAAATCTCTCTTAGGATGCCTGATCCAAAGAATTTCAAATGAATTCTGTGCTGGAAGCTCACTATTTGCTATAAAAGAAACTATAGTTTCTTTTGGTGGCCTGAAAGCAGGCCACCAAACGTGCTTTGGTGCTGACCTTTCGGGAGGGCCTCATGTGAGATCTCCTATGCTTCTCTCCTCCAGGCCCTCTCCACTCAGCCACTAAAGGGCTTGTTTCTAAAATGCAAGATGATCATGACACCCTGATAATAAGCCCGCAGCAGCTCCAAACCCCGTACACAGTGAGGTCTAGCTCCTCCACCTTTTCTCCAAATTTCTTTATGACCCCGCCCTGCCCATGTGCAACCAAACCCCCTCCTCATGGCTCATCGCCGGCTGTACCAAATCACTCCACGGGCCTGTCATGGAGTTCCATTCTTCTAGCTTTGCACAAGCTCTTCCCTCATGACCAATGTCCTGCCAAGCCTTTTGTTCTCCTGGAAAATTCCTCTGTTTTGAAAACATAACTCAATCATTACTCCTTTCAGGAAGGTTTCTCTGGCCCAGAAGATAGTAAATCACAGCTTCCTCATGCCACCGCTGAGCTCTTGCCCATTTTGTAACTTGTCTACATGCGTCCTGTACTTGTGAATTTCCCACGGGCAGGAACCATGTCCTGCCCCCAGGCCTGACCTGTGACTGAAACTCACATACTTTTGTTTTGAGTGCACTTGGAATGAACAAATGGCTAAGTATGAGGTGGACCCATACTTAATTCCAAGGGCAGTGCTCCAGCAGGGCTGGTCTCGTGGTTTTAAAGGGAATAAAGAGAATTTGAATGCCAAGAATCAATTAACATAATCTCTGAGCTACAGCTACTCAAACAGGAAGACCCGCATCTGTGGTTGTGGCCACTCCACCATTCTCTGAACACTGCCTGCCGCTGATTCTAGTCAAAAAATCTGTCCTCTTTTAATGACAGCGTAATGCCTGACGCCTAGTGGGTGCTGAACAAATATTGTGAAGAGATGGATGAATGGATGTGAGATCTCTTTCTTAAAGAAGGCATCAAAGGATTGGCTTTGAAAAGCATTTCCCGTATCACAGATTTTTTTTCTGGGGCTTTGGTGCCCCTGACCATTGGGTTGCCCATCACAAAACCCAATCAGAAAGTAGGGTGGGGGTCTGGGGGCCTGGGCTAGCAATTAGGTAACTGCACTAGAGAAACACAGCCTCAGGTTTTCCTTAGTCATATATCAAGTTTCCTGCCTTCTAGAGAAATAGCCCAACTATGTATGGGACCTCCTGCCCTAATGGCAAGGCTATTGCCACTCCTGTCACAGGACCACACTGGCCTTACCGCAGTCCACATTAATCAGGGATTTAATGTGATGAGGGAAAACGCAGGTTGTTTCCTACCTTCATTTCCAGTGCTGACACTATGCAGAGGAGATAGTCCTAGAAGCGGGTCTTGGGCTAAAACCACCACTACTGGAGATTAAAGGATTAAAGGATCACCACAGTTGTTAAAAGCAAAAGCTCTGGATTCAGACTGACCTGGCATCAAACCCAGGCTCCCGATTTTTCTAGATAAGTCACCTGGAACAAGTCAGTTGTCCTTCTGGAGCTCAGTTTCCTTAACCATAAAATCAGAATAATCTTGTCCACATCACAGGATTATTGTGACGGTCAAAGGGTATGATGTATGTAAAGCCTGAACACAGTGTCTCTATATATAATAAGTGCTCAAAAATGAAACACTATGATTAAGAACTTTCAGAAATAGTTTTACAATTATCAGGACAAAAGGGGAAAATATTCTTTAAAGACACTGTGCTTTAAAGAGAATAGATTGTCTGTTTTTGAGGAGCCAACAATGTTGATTAATCAGTGCCCCATGGAAGGATATGAAAAGACAGTGTCGGAATTCGCAACAATGGCTGTGGTTAATACAAAGCCCCAGGATGGACAGACGATGACAGAGCCGGGACACCCAAGAATTTCTCTGACAGCTGGTCCAAGAGGATTATTCCCAAAGGGCTCGTCACACCCTCCTCTGCTGGACCCAGAGTGACTGAGTCAGAACCCAAAGGAGCCAAAGTTAAGGTATCACGGGTAAGATGCCCATTCCAGTCTGTGCGCCAATGCATCCAGGCCTGCGGGAAGGTCAGGGGATACCTGACTCTGAACGGGAGTGGGACAGGTAGAGCCACACCATGGCACCTGTCATGCAAAACTGGAGAGACATAGCATTTCCTGTGCTGTTTTGATCCCCCTTCGACAACCCAAAGCCAACAGAGGATCTAAATTTCCCCATATTTCTGCCCTGAGCATGAGACAACTTTTCTCTAAGCTGAATTTGGTTTTACTTTTGAAGCGCCTGAGATGCACAATTCAGATGGGTCGAATTTCTGGCTCCTTTTGTCGATTAAACTATCCCCCAACTATGGCTGACCTGGCTTGTCTTTATGTCTGCCAACTCTTACAACTCTTCCATCTGTCATTCAGGAGGTTCCATGAAGAAAGCTCAGGGTTAGTGGTTGCAGAAGCACAAGCTAAGCCATCAGCCCTTGGAAACAAGGATTAACTTCTGGTGGAGGGGATGGGGCAGTTTGTCTGGTTACTGTGAGCAGCAGGGCAGGGACCCTACAGAAAAGACAGATTTCTAAACATGGAGACAACTCCATTAGCAAGAGACTGGGTTTCTGTGCGAAGGAACGTGCTTGGGGGAAGCCCCAACCTGTCTGATTCAGTCTGAGCCCGGGAGAGTTTGCAGCCCACTTGGGCAGCATCCTCACAAAGGCAGTCCACAACTAGGCAGTGTTTTGTAGTGGGAAGAGCACTGAACTGGGAGCCAGGAGCCTTGAATTCTGGTGCAGGCTCTGCCACTAACTAGCTGTGTGACCTTGGGAAAGTCACCTGATTTCTCTGGGGCAGCTGTAAAATGAGGGTTTGGTCAGGTGATCTAAGTTCCCCCTTGGAGAGTGGTCCAGGGTCCTATTCTATCCTTCCTTGGCTCTGTGCTTCCAGGGACAGAGATGGGAGAAGGGAAGGGAGGAGAGAGCAGATACAGGTGGGAGCCCAAGGGTGTACGAATCAGGACTCCACTTTCTCCTTCTTTTTGCTCTTTTTCAGGAAGGATGGGGTTCGGAATTTCTTTTTCTTCTTGGAAGGAGACTTGGAAGGTGAGCCCTCTGGGGACATGGGGCCACTGGTGACCGACTCGGTTTTGTCCTTAGAGGTGTCGACATCCGTGTCGGCATTGGTGGTCATCTGGCTGAGGCCTCTGCTGAGCGTTTCCTCCGTGGTCTGCTCCTCCTCCCTCCCGTTGACCACCACTCCTTCTGGCTGTGCTGGTTCAGGCTCTGTGGTGGCTCTGTTTGTTTCTGTCTTCTTAGCACCTTCTAGAAACAGATCAAGAGACATGACCCATAAGATCTCACCCCCAGAGAAGTGATAACTTCAATGTGGGGTTAAGAGAACCATTTCTAGGCAATTCTGTAAAGTCAGCCTAGAGCAACCAGGGGGCAGGTTGACAGTGGAGGGGGGTTCTCCTCCAACCCCTGGCAGATCAGTAACTCTGGGCTTTTGTCTATAATGTAAATGGGTAATGATGTTCAAACATGTCAGGAGGCCAGCTAAGGCCCAGGTGAGAGCTTTTCTAGGCATGGAATGAGGGACAGACGCAGGCGAGGAGAGAGGTGTGGGAGGGGAGAGCAGGGTCGTGTACAGTTCAGCAGGGCATCTAAGCATTGTAACTGGTTCCATTCCATCAGTGAAAATAAGGAAATGACTTGTTTTCACATCCATTTCATTTCTGACAGCAGTGGGGAACCTAGGGGAATGCAGAGGGAGGACGGAATTCCCTGAGTGACGTGGCCGCTGTGTTCCCAAGGTAAGGAAGGATGAACCCAAAGGGGAGGTGCCTGGGTGGCCTGTTCAGCAGCCACCTGGAGGGAACCTGTGTCTGCCACCACGTTCAAGGTCAGGCCTGTTTGGATTGCCACCATGTTCAAGGTCAGAACTGCCCAGACCCAGCATCTGAACCCCCTTGCCACCCTTCCTCCCCATTTCTACTCACGCCACCCAGCTTCCACTCAAGCTTTGAGATGCCTGGATGCAGAGGGAGGAGGAGAACTTACAAAAGCACAGACATTGAAAAGTAGAAAGGAATGTAAAGACCTAGCTCACCTCCTCCCATTTCACAGGCATGAAAACAGTGAAGCAGTAATGGTGGGCTGACAGTCTCCTACACCCAGTTTAATAATGTTCTTTTCACTCAGTGAAAATGAAAGGAGTAAGTGTGAGCATGTGGAAGCATGTGTGAGTGTGAGCAGTGAGTGTGTGATCATGTGAGCATGAGCATGTGTGTGAGCGTGAGAATGTGAGCATGTGGGTGTGGGTGTGAGCATGTGTGTGTGTAGGCATGTGAGCTACCACATCACAAGTAGGGACCCCGGCACGCTCTGCTCCATAGGAATATAGGTAATGGGGAAGGTCTAGCTGGTATAACTTAACACAAGGAGGGGGTAGAGATGTAAATTTTAGCAAACGGGGTTGTGACAGGAGTAAAGATGGAGCAATATAAGATGGGAGAGAGGGGAGGAAATCAGTGGACAGTCAGAATGGGCTGGCTTAACTCTCTGGGAAAACTCTTACAATGAGGTCTTTCCTTACTTCTGAGATTCTGTGGGCAAGCCCAAGTGCCCTTCCAGACAACCTCTGAGGACTGTCTCTCTCTCAGTACCAATGACCTTGACCCCCAGCTCCCATTCTTTCTGCTGTCCAGCCCACGTCCTGCCATCATCCAGCTACCAAGTTCTCTGACACCCTTGACTCCTAGAGCCTCCCAAGCCCTGCACCACCTAGTCCCTCTGTCCTCACCTGGTGGTGCTCCTGCATGAGGTATCCAGTCTGGACATGACCTTGTCTCTGTCCACTCTCCTTGTTTTGCTGCTACTTGGCCTCGTCAACCCTCCACTCCTGGACCTCTTCCCACCCTTATGACCTATCCCCTCTGTCTAGAGGGCCCGTCTCTCTCTTCCCTGTGTCCCCACCCTTCACCCCATACAATGAAGTGTTACCTCTCCCTTAAAGTCTGTCCCAAACCATCCCTGCTTCCAGGGAGAGTTTATCACTCCTTCCTTTCTGTCCCCACTATACACATTTCCATCACAGTAACTAAAACAATCACACTTCCTTGTTTATGCCTATCTCCCCACTTGAAATTGAAATACATTTGACAAGACTGTGTCTGATAATCTATGTAAGTAGCTTGTAGTGTAACAGGGTGAAAGATCATGTGAGCATCTTGGCAGTTCTGCCTCCATAGTGTATCTCTCTCCTTCGCTGCCCTTACCTCTGGGTTAAATAGTTTCTACTCAGCCCTGCATGCAGACATTTTAATCATTAGAGGAATTTTGCTTACAGCTCAGTTTTACAAATAATCCTCTTATCCAAAACTTGTCTTGCCTTAAAGGAGATAGGGAAGTATGTATCAAAATAATGATTGTCCTGTCAAAGATTTATAGGACCATCACGATCAGGACCTAGGTAAACAAGAGTTAACTAACCGAGGACAAAGAATTTCACAGCTCTCCCTGGACCCTCGCCAGCACCCAGATGTCGCAGTTGCCTGTCACCTCCTAACTTCAGTCCCCTCCTGCTTCCCTTTCCCTAGCATAAAAGAAGCTTGAAACAGACCCTGAATTAAGATGGTTCTCAGCCACCATCTCTTGGCCTGCTGGCTTTCTGAATAAAATCGCTTTCCTTGCTCCAACGCCTCATCTTTCGACTTACTGGCCTATTGTGCAGTGACTGGCATGAACCTGGACTCAGTAACAATAGGAGATACTCAAGATATGTTTATGGAATCCATGAATGCCCGACTGCCTGAGCAAACAAATGGATGTGTGAATGGTTTTATTCTAAGCAAGCCACCACCACCCCTCACCTTCTTTCTTGTCTGTCCCAGCCTCAGCCTTCTATGCTGAACTAGACCCAGTTGTGTAAACAAACAGTGGCCTTGAGTCTCCGGTTCCCCCGTCCCCATTCTCATCCTCCTAGGCTGTTGTACCTTCCACAGTTCTGCACTTCAGTCCAGACCCTCACTGCAGGCCCTTCATCTGGATGAGCCATCAGGACATGCTTCTCTAGTCTGACCCTCTCGGATGGCTTTCGTACTTGCCTTCTAGCTCCATGAACACAACTATGGATAAGAGGGGCTCCCACTTTCTGCCCAGATGTCTGCCCTGGTGGTGACAGGTACTTCCACTCCAGGGCCCTTCATTCATGCCCTTCACCCCCACCTTCCCTGCTGTCAGCCCCTGGTCCATGTCTTGGTTTAGGAGAGAGGCACCCAGGGTTCTTCTCACCATCCAGAAAACAAAGCCATGTGAGTGTGCCCAGGTTCTCAGACAGCTCTCACACTATGAATTGTTTAGGGAGTAGCAGCAAGTGGAAAGTGGGGTGAGGGAAGGCGCAATGGGCCTTGGAAGAAACATGGTCTAAACTGAGGTCACCACTCCCTCAGCTATAGAGGACAGAGACCACTGGAGGCTTCGCTTGGCTGAGAGAAGGGGCAGTAGGAAAAGGCTCCAGAAATAAGCACGCACTGGGCTTCTAGAAAGTATCAAGGATCAGCTCTGAGAGCCCAGACTCCTCCTTTGTTAACAGCTCAGGATATTTAAGGTTGGAACTACACAGAGCTCTCAACTCATCTTCAGCTCTTTGACCCGGCTGGGAGGGGCCCCAGGGGCCAGGGGTAGACAGGAACTCACCTTCTAGTATCCCTGAAGAAGAACCACTAGCTTTTTCTCCTGGATGGGACACTTTGGGCTCTGGGAGTAGGGGACAGGTGAACGGGTAGGTGGAGTGGGGCAGAGCCTGGAAAATACGGGTGTCCAAGAAGGATGGCCAGGAAGCAGGGGGAGGGGAAGAGGAAATCAGGAGAGCAGGTGATCTGAAGCAAGACTGGACTTGGCAGGATCCTCATCCAGACCCCTGCGGGTGGGGAGACAAAGGGCTGAAAGGTTTGCAGAGGCTGGAGAAAGGGAGGTGCTTCTGTGGGGAGATGCTAAGCTTGTTTGGACACTAACCGGTCAGACTTGACTTCTCACTATCCCTCAGCCTCCAAACACTTGTCTCTCAGTCCTCCAATGCCCACCCCCTCAGCTCCTGGCCACTGCCCCTGGGCAGCCCACTCTACTCCTGTCTGCCAGTCCAAGTATTTATCTCCCCAAGGTCTGGCTCAAGCCTCACTAGACATTTGACAATGATCTTGCCCTTCTTTAAACCTACTGCCAATATACTCATTTTACATTTGTATGTGTCATTTATCTTTTATTTTTAAGAGCCCACACTTGGGTGCGGTCCCCTCCCGCCTGAACTTGGGCTGGCCCAGTGGCTTCCAGGAACCAAAAGAATACAAAGAAAGTGCCACGGAGCCTTCAGGCCAAAGGCTGCAGATGGCCTAGCAGCTTCTTCCTGTACAGTCTGGGGATCCCTGACCTGGCATGTATAAAGTCTGACCGCCTGACGGAAGCACACACAGAGAGCCCTACAACCACATGGAGAGACACAGAGAAGCCCAGACAGAGAGGCCCAGCCATTCCCAGTGTTCCAGCGGCCCCTGCCAAGATACCTGACATGCGAGGCCACCTGGGGAGTTCCAGTTCAGTCAAGCTGCCAGATGACCGCAGTCCCAGCTGACATCAGAGAAGAACCATCCAGCTGGGCCTAGTCAACTTTCAAATAACTAATTTCTCTAAGACCAGTTCTTATTATGCACCATGATTTGAACTGGCCACCCCAAAATGAAGTGGCTTAAAATTGCAAGGCGTGTATTGTCTCTCATAGTCACAGAACTCAGTACAGTAAGAACTAATTCACGCAAGCACACTACAAGGTCCTTTCACATTCATTAGCTCATTTCGTCCCGTTAATGCTGTGAGTTAGGAAGGGCATGGATTCATGTAATTCCCCCACTCGGCAGTGTTTTTCAGCGACTTATTTGAGAAGGATAAATTAGTAAATGCCAGAGCTGATCTTCTGATGCTGAAGTCACAGCTCTTCCTTTGCAGGCAGAGCTGGTGCTCCTGAGGCGGCCTGGGAAGATGGGGTCAGGGGGCAGGGGCAGCCAGGAGCTAGTCAAAGAGGAGGTGATGACAGAGATGGCCAGATATGAAGGAAGATCTGGAAGGCCCTCCTTCAGAGAAGCTGATGGGGCAGGAGACAGATGAGGAGTGAGGCTGAGGTGACTCAGAGAAAGAGGATTTGAAAGCACAGTAAGAAACAGTGAAAAGGCCATCCCTGGTCCCATGGGTGAGCTAACTGTGAACGTGCAGGTGCTGCCCGGAGGGTCAGCCCGGTCTGCCATGAGGAGCTGGGCAGGCCATCAGACAAA